CTCAGGCCCTTGTGCTTGCCAGGGAAGTGCTTATTCCACTGAGCCATCTCCCCAGCCCCTCTTTTTCTTTATTTATAGAAGATATGAGGTAGAATTAGTGTTAGAAGTGTAACTGATGTTATACTTACATACTGTGGTTATTGGAAACAAGGGCCATGGCATCAATTTACAGGGTCTGGATTTCACTTGTGCTGTTCATTAAATGTGATCTTGAATAAGAATATAACCTTTAGGGGGCTGGCCGGTTAGCTCAATTGTTTAAAGTGCTTGCTTGGGCAAACTCAGTTAAGTGCAAGGGACTGTGGTTCCATCTCTAGCTCCACATGCTGTACCAGATCCCACCTTAAGGCAGCCTGAGCCCCGCCCCCAAAAAGAATACAACCTTTATGAATCTCAGTTTATTAATTTGTGGTATTTCCTGTCAAGTGCTTCCCTCAATGATTGACATGGTATGTAAAAAATAGTGATTAGTAAAATTATCTGTGTTTTTATCACAAAATATTTAGGTATACTAGTTAGACAATCATTCTTTTACAATAGGAAGTATCTAAATATAGTTTGACTTTGGTCTTCTTTTTTGTTTTGTTTTTTGTTTTTGGTTCTGAGAATTGAACTCTGGACTTTGCCCTTGTCAGGCAGGTGCTTGTGCCACTGAGCTATATCCCTGGCTCAATACAGTTTTTTAAAAAACATTTTAATTGATTTTTAATTACTTAATTATTTTATTTTTTGTGGTACCAGGGATCAAACTCAGGACCCTGCACTTGCCAGGCAGGCACTTAACCCACTGAGCTATCTCCCAGCCCTCAGTATAGTTTTATTTAGTATAATTGATGTGCAGACTAGGGGGTCAAATTGGAATCTTAATCCAGTGAAAACATTTTCATAGGGAAGAGAATATTAAATTTCTATACCCAGGAGTAGAAATTACAAGGAGTAGTGTGAAATGATGTCACTGTTTGAGATCTGCTATGTAGGAAGTGGAGGGAGTAACAGTATGGCACTATACCATGGAGAGAGTGTGCCAGATTTTTAAGCCTGAATTTAGTAAGGACATTTTGACATATTAACAAAACGTATATTGACAGCCTTAATGCTTTGAGTGTGAGCTACAACCAATCTGAAAAATGCAGCTTCAAAGGCTTGCATCATTTATACTTTTTACCACGAATCCTCCCCATTATGCCACAGTTCCCTGAGATTAGTATTAGTTGTGTGTAGAAAAGCCAGTAATTTATATACTGGATTAGGCCAAGAACCCTAGTAGTTTTGTGTTAGAAAATGATGATGTAAGTCTGCATGATTCTCTTGCGTAGGGAATTTGGACGTCAGGTAGCAGGGAACGCAATAAGTAGATAGTATAGTACAGTAGAAAACATAGAGGAGAGAGCAGTCATTGTAGAGGGTGAAACGTAACCACAGTCATTGTGGAAGCAGAACCAGGAAGCTGGGTTATGAAGAGGATCAACTAGAGTTTCTATTGGGATAGTAATTTTGCTTTTATCTTGACCGGTAAAGTTTTCGGTGCATCCTGATTGTAAGACAGTCCTTGTGCTCCATATTTCTCCATTAAGTTTCCTCTCTCCCTCCGCTTTTTTTTTTTTTTTTTTTTGAGTGGTGCTGGAGATTTAACTTATGGCTTTTCTGATCTTGGTCATGCACTTTTTTACTGTGCTGCATCTCACTAAATTTTCCTTTTGCCATAAAGTAGGTGAATCTGAATGTATCCCTGCAATCAGAAGGAGCCTGTCTTGCACACTTAC